TGGCACCCTGGGCCAGGGTGCCCGGGTGCAGGAAGAAGACCCGCAGCGACACTGCTCTTGGCCGTTCTTGTGAAGCTGGGATTGCTGCTCGAGGATCCGTGTGTGGCAGAGGCAACGCCACCTGGCTGTGACTGCGACACCGCGGCCCCAGGCATGAGGACAGGAGGGGCAGCAGTTACCACACAGCAGGTGAAGCCATGCCTGGGGACACACGCATCCTACACAGCACATGGGAGGCAGCACAGGATGGGTCAAGTACTCGGGCCCCTCCCACCAGGTGGGAGACCTGAATGAAGTTAGTGCCTGGCATTAGGCTGGCCCAAAGAGAGAAGGAAACAAACGGGATTCCTGAAACGCCTGTAAGTCGTCAACTGGGCATTCCCAGAAGCACCAGGTGCCAATCCTTCACCCAGGCCAAAAGTAACCGACACACGGGTGGCTGGTGCGTGGCAGACGCTTCACCGGGAACTCAACCACCACAACAGTGCAGGTGTGCCAGACCCGAGACCAGTGGCGAGATGACGGCTCCAACTCGAAGCTGGGACAGACAGGTTCACATCTCAGCCCAGATGTTCCCTGACATCTGGAGATGTGTTAGCCACCTTAGAGGGCCACTGGGAGCAGAGCAGCAGCCCGTTAGACAGCAGCGGGGAACATGCCTCTGCGCACCCAGCGCCAGGGCAAGGGGCCGTGCCTCTGGAGACACCCGCGTCCCATCCAAGTGCCCGAGGTTGGCACCCACTTGGCCCCGGGGTGCGACTTCCTGCACCTGCAGGCCCTGGGAGGCGGCGGCGATGATGGGTCACGTGACTGGGTTCCTACCTCTCATACCCGAGTCCTGGGGTGAGTTCCAGGCTCCCAGCTTCAGCTTCCTGGCCATTCTGAGCACCTGGGAGAATGAACCGGCAGATGGGAGCTTTCTCGCTGCCTCTCAAATGTAAAAGGCCAGCACTGTGGCACCATGGGTTAAGCTGCTACGTGCCATGCTGGCATCCCATATGAGCACCAGTTCCAGTCCTGGCTGCTCCACTTCCGATCCAGCACCAAGCTAACACACCTAGGACAGCAGTAGGAAATGACCCGAGCGCTTGGCCCCTCATCTGCCTGGGCGAGCTGGGTAGAGTTCCTTGCTCTGACCAGCCCTGTCATTTGTGGAGTGAAGCAGCAGACAGATCTCTCTCCATCTCTTGCTCTGTAACCCTGTAGTTGAAATTTACTAATAGATCTTTTAAAAATTCATATATTTTAATAGATTTGTTTATTTTTATTGGAAAGGCAGATTTACAGAGAGAACATACAGAAAGATCTTCTATCTGCTGGTTCATTCCCCAAGTGGTCAAAATGGCTGGAACTGAGCCAGTCAAGGCCCAGGAGCCCGGAGCCTCTTCCAGGTCTCCCACACAGGTACAGGACCCAAGGCTTCGAGGCATCCTTGACTGCTTTCCCAGGCCACAAGAAGGGAGCAGGACAGGAAGCGGGGCTACCAGGACACGAACTGGTACCCATATGGGATGCCAGAGTATGCAAGGTGAGGATTAGGCACTAGGCCCTCAAATTTATATTTTTAAAAATTTTGAAATAAATAAAAAACAAGGACTACCCAACACCAGTGGTCCGGGACAGAAGAGGGGAACCAGGCAGGGGTTCTTACTTCTGATGATCACCCTAAGGGACAGCGAGCTGTGGTGGCAGCATCTCAGTTCCAGGGTGCCAGCCATGACAGCACCCCCGGGGAGCTACCATGCTGCAGAGGGGAGGTGCAGATGTAACCAAGGTTATCAACCAGCACCTCTTAAAGCAGAAGGACCACCCTGGGTAGTCTGGGCATCCCTGCAGCCTCAGGAAGGTTCGGGGCACCTCTGTTGGCCTTGAAGATAGAGGGGTGACCGGAAAAAGAACAGCTGAGGGTGCCGAGCCTGGGACAGCACCCGGCCCTGCGGGTGTACTGCCTGCGCAGCCATGTGCTGCCCCGCCCACACTGCTTCAAGCTCCCAGGGTTGTGGCTTTCAGTTTCACAGTGACCTCCTGGTGGCCTGGCTGGGGATCCCCGAGTTAGGCCAGCCACAAAGTTCAATCTCCAGAGCATCAGACCCTGGAGCTCTTCCTGGCTGTCTCTCGGTGAGGAAGGGGAGAAACAAGAGTCATTGCCAAAGGTCTTGGCACACAGGGGAGGGGCTGGTGCACCTGAAGAACCCCCGACTCACGGTCTGGTCCCTCTGCCTCGGTACATTTGGCCTGAACCCATTCCCCGGAGCTCCCAGGCTGCGGCCTCCAGAAACCAGAGGAGGTGCCACCTCCCTGGCGAGCCCAGCGGCCTCCATGGCTGTGTGTTCAGACTGGGAAGACAAGAGGTCTTCAGGAGCCCAGTCAGACAGATCTCTTGCCTGCAGACCTGCAGGAGCCCAAGCTGGGAGGAATGGTCATGGTCAGTGAGGCCCTGGAGGGGCCCCATTCACATCCTGACTTGTCTGAGCTGGCTGAGAATTGGAGAAAGCCGGGGCCCCGTAAGCCAGGCCTAACAGATGAGCGCTGTCTGCAGGAGAGTGGACAACGCTTAAAAAAAAAAATTAAGCCAAATATTGAGGTGAGGTTTTACACCAGAAGATTTCCCATAAGGAATGAAAAGCTCTGGCCACTGTGGGCCCTTGCATTCTCTACGGGAACCCAAGCCCCAGAGCCACCTACCCCCTAAGCCCCCAACATCCCCCAGCTCCAATTTGGTCACCACCCAGATCCCTGAAAACATGTGGGTCCCAATCCCCAAGCTCAGCCCAGCCTCATTCTATGTCCTTGCCCTGCCCCAGGCCCAGGGAGTCGTGGGGAAGGGCTGGAGCCCTGTGTAGCGTTAGCCAGGCTGGAAGGAGGAGGGGAGTGGGCCAGAAGCATGGAAACCCAGCCGTCTTAGTGGACAGCTATTCCCTGTGACACAGCCTGGCTGAGAACATCCCGGATACACCTGCCTCAGCCCACTGGGCTGGAACCGGCACCTCACCTGTTGGTGCAAGCCTGGGGGGGAGTGCCCGCTCCTCTGGGTCTGCAAGCCCTGGGTGCTCGGTGCCAACCGCACGTTGAAAACACAGCAGAGGCAGCCAACGGTGATGTCACCCCAGGTGTCGCCGTCCTAACATGTCACCCGGGGCTCCCACCTGCAGGGCCCCTGCCTACAAGAAGATGCAAAATGTGCTTCTAAGAGGAGACCCCGAAGCAGATGGAGAGGCGACACTGGGCCCCCTCTGCCTGGACAGGCGGCGCAGAGCAAGAGACAAGAAAGCGGCGGCAGGGGAGGGGGGGCTGAATTCTGCATGATCAGCAAGGTTTCCAACAATCGCTCGCCAACTCAAGTGGGTGCCACGTCTATAAGTCACTCTGTTTTATAGACCATTAGGGTCTCCAGAGGGAACCTGCACGGGGACCACTGCTTTTTGTTGAAATTAAAATGTCAGAGAAAAAGAAATAGAACAAAACAGGGAATCTGCAATTAATTACCAGGCCATAAAAATTCAATAATCAGGAGGCAGAGCGGCCACGGGCCCAGAGGTATCTGCGCCAGCGTAACAAGAATGGAATACATTAATCTTTTCAAATTAGTTTTTTAATCTGACGGGGATATATGGTGACACGCTGGCCCTCTGCGCCTGCCCTCCCTGCCACACACTGGGGCTCAGGCCTGAGCCAGGTGGGGGTGCAGCTGGGGACCTGGCCGTGCTCCCCGACCACTAGGCAGTGGGACAGCACTGGCTCAGGGTTGCCCAAGGGATCCCTGGGCCAGGGAGGCGGCAGAGGGTGAGAAAGCAAGAAGCCCCACTTGGAGCAGGGTCTGGGACCCAGTGGCAGTCCTAGGACACCCAGCACCCTGGGGACACCAGGTTGCACCTCCAGGGCCTGGAGGCGGGGGAGGGGTTCATTGGTCCACACATCCATCCCTATCTCTGATGGGAAGCCACGCCCATGGTCCCAAGCACCGTGCCCCAGACCTCCGTCTCCACAGCAGCTTAGCCTCAGAGAGGCTCAGAATTCGAGTAGCTCGGATAGATCCAGGATCCACACTTCTGGGGCCTGGCTGGGGAGGCCTCCCTCAAGCCCACGGCCAGCCAGTGTTGTTATGAAATGGCCTGCTAGGACAGTCACCACAGGGGATGCGGCCAGTAACTATGCCCTTGTGCCTTGAGGCATTTTGCCTCTTAAGAGGAGGGATCTTCCCAAGTGGAGCCTACTCGGGGTCAGGTGTCAGACCCACGGCTCTTTCAGACCATGAATAACTCCATCATGGGGAGGAAAGTGAAGTTTGGGTCTGCCCACCAGCCCTGGGCTCTGAGTCAGCTGCCTTAAGTCACAGGGTCTCCTGCCTCCCCCTGGCATTCAGCACATAGTAGGCATGCAAGTTCTGCTCAGTGGACAGTCTCCTGGCAGAATGACCTCACCAGCCAGGGCAGGGGGATTCCAACTCTACCTCCCCCAGGATACCTGCACTCCCACCTGTGGTCACAGCAGCAGCAGCCTCTTCCTGAGGACCTACTGTGTGCCACAGTACCCTTTTTACAGTATGTAAGCCCAAGTTTAGACATTTAAGCCCCAAACCAGACACCGTGCCTAGTACTCAAGCACCCACCGTATTAGCTTAGAGCCCCGTCCAGCGCGTGGGTACACACACACACACACACACACACACACACACACACACACACACACACACACACACACACACACACACACACACACACACACACACACACACACACACACACACACACACACACACACACACACACACACACACACACACACACACACACACACACACACCCTGTCCCACAGAGCTTCAACACCCTTGCTGGCGAGGTACAAGAAGCAATAGCCAGGATTGGGTTTGTGCCTAAGACCGGCGACAGTGCAATTCCACATGGGGCCACCAGATGGTGCCCGCTTCTCTCTGGCGGGGCTTGCAGTAAGGCGATGTGGCCGCTAGATGGTGAGCGAGGCCAGGGCTCCTCCGGCAGGGCCCAGAAAAGGTGGAGCCCGGCGGGCCTGGGTCCAGACCCGGAGCGCACGAGATTCGGCGCCACCTCGGCCCACGCTATGAATCACCCCATTCCCCGGTTCTCGGTGCCCGCCGCGCTGGCCCTGGGCTCGGCCGCGCTGGGCGCCGCCTTCGCTACTGGCCTCTTCCTGGGTGAGCAGGGCTGGGATCGGGGCCTCCGCCTTGCCCCGCTGGGCGGGCAGGTGGACGCGGAGGGAGGGCGCAGGGCAAAACCCGCGCGTCTGCACGGCCGGCTGCGGATCGCGCTCATCCCCTCGGCGCTCGGAGCTCCGGGCCCTGAGCTAGCAGCACCGCTTCTGTCCGGCAGGGAGACGGTGGTCCCCATGGCGCCTCCGGCCACAGCAGCGCCTGCTGCCCCCCGAGGACAGTCCCCTGTGGCAGTATCTGCTGAGCCGCTCCATGCGGGAGCACCCGGCGCTGCGGAGCCTCCGGCTGGTCAGCAGAGACTGGGGCGGCACCCACGTGGCTGAGTGACCCTGGGGCTTCCGGGATCCCCTGTCCACGGGCGTTCCCCCGAGCGCACACCCCGGGGCGGGGCGGGGGGCTAGCGGAACTGGGACCCCTCTCTCCCCCCCACGCAGCTGACCCTGGAGCAGCCGCAGGGAGACTCCATGATGACCTGTGAGCAGGCCCAACTTTTGGCCAACCTGGCGCGGCTCATCAAGGCCGAAAAGGCGCTGGACCTGGGTAGGCGCACGGCCTGGATCTCTTGGGGCTGAGGCCACCGGGCCGTCCATCCCCCCCGGGCTGAGCCTGTCCACGTGCCCGCCCCCAGGCACTTTCACAGGCTACTCCGCCCTGGCGCTGGCCCTGGCGCTGCCCTCGGCCGGCCGCGTGGTGACTTGCGACGTGGACGCGGGGCCCCCGGAGCTGGGGCGGCCCTTGTGGAAGCAGGTGGGCGCGGTCCACCCCGGGGCAGGGCCAGTCGGGCGGCGGGCGGTGCGGGCACTGACCCCGCTCCTTCTGCAGGCCGAGGTGGCGCACAAGATCGACCTGCGGCTGCAGCCTGCCCTGGACACCCTGGGTGAGCCAGGGCGCGGGGTGGGCCCGGGCGCGAGCCGGACACGCGGGCAGCCGCCGGGAGGCCACGTGCGGGGCTGGGCGGCCGGGGCAGGGCGGCCGGGGCTGGGCGGACGCTCCCCACCACCGGGACTGCCGACTCAGCCGCGCCCGCCCCTCCCTCCCCCGCAAGACGAGCTCCTGGCGGCGGGCGAGGCCGGCACCTTCGACGTGGCTGTCGTGGACGCCGACAAGGAGAACTGCGCCGCCTACTACGAGCGGAGCCTGCAGCTGCTGCGCCCCGGAGGCGTCCTCGCCGTCCCTAACGTAAGGGAGGGCCGCGGAGAAGCCACCCCCGTGGGACGGTCCCGCGGCTTCTGCCCGGCGGCTTCTGCCCGCGTCACTCGGAGTGGACAGAGCGCCCAGGCTCGGTGGCCACGCCCCCGCACGTCCCGCCCTTCCGGGCAGTCCCGCCCCCGTGCCGACTTCGCCCCTCTCGTGGCCCGCCCAGGTTGGCCACGCCTCTTGCATGCCCCGCCCCGGGCTGACAACACCCCCGATTGGCCCCGTCCCTCAGCATCCCGCCCAGGTTGGCCCAGCCCCAGACTGACTCCACCCCCTGTCTCATCCGACTGGCTCCGCCCCTCGCATGCCCCGCCCCCGACTGGCTCCGCCCCTCCACAGGTGCTGTGGCGTGGAGAGGTGCTGCACCCTCGGCAGGGAGACGTGGCAGCTGAATGCGTGAGAAACCTGAACGAACGCATCCGACGGGATGTCAGAGTCCTCGTGAGCCTCCTGCCCCTGGGAGACGGCCTCACGTTGGCCTTTAAGATCTAGCGCTGGGGCCCGGCGCGGTGGCGCAAGTGGTTAAGTCCTCGCCTTGCACGCCCGGGATCCCATATGGGCGCCGGTTCTAATCCCGGCAGCCCCGCTTCCCTTCCAGCTCCCTGCTTGTGGCCTGGGAAAGCAGTGGAGGACGGCCCAAAGCTTTGGGAACCTGCACCCGCGCGGGGAGACCCAGAAGAGGGAGACCCGGAAGAGGCTCCTGGCTTCGGATCGGCATAGTATCGGCCCGTTGCGCTCACTTGGGGAGTGAATCATCGGATGGAAGATCTTCCTCTCTGTCTCTCCTCTCTGTATATCCGCCTTTCCAATGAAAAAATAATAAAAATAAATCTTTAAAAAAAAAAAAGATCTAGCGCTGGTCCCTAATGCATGGCAACCACAGGCACTGACCTTGCTGTCTAATAAAGCGGTGCTGGGACTGCCTGGGCCTGCGTGTGGTGCTGGGAAGGCCCAGAGCGGGCAGCTGCGGTGACGGGCAGCCTTGAGGTGGTGAAGAGTTCAGACCCCTGGAACACCGTGGGCAGCCCCCAGCTCCTCGGGCATGCCTCCTGCACTCCATGTTGCAGCTGAAGGTTCCCCCTACAGGTCTCCTTCAGTGGTAGTTGGGCTGGCTGCGTGAGGGCTGAAACCGGGGCAAACGGGAAGTGACTTGGAGGGAGCACAGAACTGACGGCACACGTCCATTGCTAAGGGCCATCTGCCCTGTTGTCACCTCATAGTGGGGACACAGGCCACCGCCAAGGACCCACACTTGACTGGCTGGCCGGAGGGCAGACCATCAGCATGACCACTTTGAACATGTAAGAAAGCTTCAGGATTTCCAGTGAAGGAGCCACGCTTTCTTCAGCATATTTCAGTCGTTTTGCTTCCTTCACTGGACTCTGACCCCAGACACCCGCCACACTGGAGGTTTTCCCTATTCCTGGGTCACCTGGCAAGGTCTGGCTGGTGGAAGTGTACCTGGCTGATCCTGAAGAACAAGGCCAGAAGTCACATAGCCCAGTTGCTGGCAAGCACCCAGCATCCCGGGCCGCCCTCCAGAGCCCAGACCGTAGTCATAAGCTACCTCCAGTGAGGGAGATGACCTCCAGTCGTAGCACAGGAAGTCAATTAGCAAGGGGCAGCAGTGGACTGCTCAGGGCATGACAGGCTGGCAGGTCCCGTGGCCACATGTGCTCCATCTGCCACTACCCACAGCCTTGGGTTTCAGAGTTGCGTGGTTTGCTCCTCACTCTCGTTATGCATCCTGCGACCAAGGGCTGCTTTCATTTAACCAGACCCCAGACTTGGCTGGTTGACTAGAAAGCCGCATCCATGAACTGATGTGCGTCTGCAGCAGGTACCCAAAGAGGTTGTTTCCCACTCACCTGGCCATCCCAACAGCTCCTGGGATCCTGCATGCCCGAGGTCTCCCTCACCGGGGCAGGGACCGGAGTCAGGAACTACAGGCCAAATGAAGCTGAAGGTTTCCCATTTTCTATTCTATTCTCTGAGCCTTTAGGCTGTACAGCAAGATCTACTATTGCCTTCTCTAACCATAGATCACAGCTGTCAAACTCTTGCCATAAGAAAATCTGCTCTTTATGCAAATCACACAGCGACACCCATCATCCATGGCCAGAGGCTGAGGCCCACGCAGCCTGCCTCTGCCCTCCGCACAGGGTTGCTGACGTGGTCTGCAGCCTTCTCGACTTCCCTCTGCACCACAATTTGGCTAGTTCATTTTCTGCAGCAATGCAAGGGTAAGGGACATGTCAGCACCAACGCTTTCTCTTTCTTCCTGGGATTAAAAATGATACACTGATTTTACACAAACTTAGAAACTGAAGAATGTAAAAGCGTGTATTTTCTTATTTTATTATACTCTTAATTTAAAAGCTCATGAAATTATTCTAGGGACACACAGGACTTTGTGACACAAATTTTGGTAAAGAGCAAAATGCTCACCAGAAAAATAAAGTGTTAGATACCAGGGAGACAGATCTGATCCTACCTGGCAAATTCTAAACTCTGCAAAGACTTAGAGCCATTAATTATGTACACTTGTTTTATTCATAATTTGTAACGTTCTGGATACCAAAAGTAATTCTAATGATGGGTGGATTTAACATAAAAATTTTAACCTCATCTTAAAACATCCACTGATCCATCTCATTCAATGGCAATACTCAATGTTAAAAGGAACATAAAAACAAACATGCACACAATTGCACAGTTTTCATAAAGGTCTATTTCATTATTGGTGGGTAGCGCATTTAACAGTTAAATACATTTAAATAATGTATAGGTGACTGCACCACTGCAGTGCTGGTAACTACAGATAACCAATTCAACTAGACACCAGCTAACAAGTAACTGTCTAAATATTTCAAATACAGCTCTTGTTTAGATCATCCTTTGTTTTGATCACCTTCCTGGGGGGAGAAAAGCCTGCTGGTCACATTGGAAATATATTAAGGCCAAATCTTGAGCTATCCATTCCCAGAGGTTCCTTTCAGCTGCATTAAGCCTCCAACTCCAGGGCCAGCCCAAGTTTGTGGCCTCCAGCATTGATGCTCTTCCCGTCGACCAGAGCAGACAGCGTGAGCTTCACTCCTGTAAACCCAGCACACAAGCAGGATGAGACAGACGTCACTCAGAATCCGAATCCCCACACAGCCTGCCTTCCTCCACTGACTAACCAGTGACAGCCACCAGAGGGCACTGCGAAGAATCTGAAGCACCAACTACCCTAAGGTGGGTACTAGGAGCATAAAAATGTTAGTGGTAATTTAAGTCCCCAATAGAGCAAGAAGCAGACAGCTGTAATTTTTAACTGTACCCCAGGGGGAAAAAGACATCTGGGGATGAATGGGGAAATCTACATAAAGGATAACAAGTTGGGTCATTATTAAATCCGTGTTGGTTTTCTCGGATGTGACAAAAGTAATACTGTGATTATGAAGTAAAATATCCTATATTCTGAGGCTACACACACCAGGGTTGCTGTGTCCACATGATTTTCATTTGTACCACACTTTTAACTTTTTCCTGAGCTTTAATATCAGGTTTTGGGGGGGAAAAAAAACCTCCAATTTGGCAGTGGAACAAAGTCTATGGTACTTGAGAGTCAAACCATGCAAGCCAACACTGGCATCACCAAGCAGCTCTGAGAACTACAACCTCCAGCCCAGATCCGGAGGCAACAATAATTTACCCTGGACCAAGACTGCCAAGGTAATTTCATATGCACACTGAGGTTTGAGATGTGCTGTAAGATTTTTTAAAATGTTACGGAAAGTGGTTAACACAAAACACAGCACAGTAAGTTAGACCTCCACCTGGACTACCGCCATCCCACATGGGGGCTGACTCGAGTCCAAGCTGCTCCACTTTCAGCCCAGCTCTCTGCTAACGTGTCTGGGAAAGCAGCAGCAGATGGACATGGGCACCACGTGGGAGAGCTGAAGGAGCTCCAGGCTGGCCCAGCTCTAGTCATTGTAGGCATCTGAGCAGTGATCCACTGGAAGAGCTCTGTCTTCTCTAATAAGTATTACATATATAATATTTTTCTATATGGTTGAAAGGTCTACAAAATAAGGTATGTCATTCGAAAGTATCAAAACAATCCTGTTTTATCAAAAGCACTTACCAGGCCTCAAAGTCTGAGTGTAGCCCACTCCAATTAAACTAGAATTGTTGACTTTTGCCTAAGATAAAATTCAAAAACGACAATTAATTTTTTTTAAGAGACTAAGTCCTTGTAGACTTTCCTATCATGTAATTATTATAAAATAAACTGTTCAGTTTTTAAAATTCACATGACAGTGAAACTGAGTATCAAATACTAGGCCAAACAAAAAGCAGGTGCCACCAAATCTCATGAATTCAATTTACAATAGAATTGCCACAAAGGATGATTAAGTACCATTCTTTACATACAGTGGGATGGGGCCACTGATCCCAACCTGTCCGTCCAGCACGCAGCCCAATCACTCCAGTCTCACACAGCACAGTTTTTTCATTAGAGTTGCCCCCAGACTGAACACCAGGAATACTACCACCAGACGACAAACGTCCTCACCACTCCCTTGAGCTGCCACACTGTGCTGGAGAGGATTCACCAATAATTATGTAACAATCCAGGCCCTGTCATCCTTGCTCAATATTGTACCATTTAATCAAAGACCTTTATGGGTTAGCAGAAACTACACACACACACACACACAAAACAGTAAATATAATCTCCTTCTAATTTGGTTTCCTATCACCAAAAACACCATCATGTCACACCAGAGGTTTCTGGTTATAAAAGGGGCTATGTTACCCCCATCTCCAGGACCTAGCTGCCTAGTCAAGTGGCTGCTCATTCTGTAGATAACAGTAGAGTTATCAAATAGCCTCTAAGAGCAAAAAAGATGTAGAAGTAATCTAATGTTACATATCAGATAGTACAATCCAGTGAAAAACATTTAGTGATTTTACAATGGCACATGGATCCCATGCTGCCTTCCTGTTTTAAATTCTGAACTACCGGTAGGTAGCTGGGAGACACTTCTACTGGTTGGCATTAAATGTGGGGTACCAGGCTTGGTGTAATGGCTCAATTGGCTAATCTTCCGCCAGCATTCCATATGGATGCAGCTTCATGTCCAGGTTGCTCCATTTCCCTTGTAGCTCCCTGTCTGTGGTCTGGCAAAGCAGTGGAGGATGGCCCAAGTCAGGTATATATACAGGGGAGATTTGGAGGCAGCTCCTGACTTCAGACCTGCTCAGCTCTGGTTTTTGCAGCCACTTGGGGAATGAACCAATAGTTGAAATACCTTTCTCTGTCTTTCCTGGTCACTGTAAATCTACCCTTCCAATAAAAATACTTTTTTAAATAGAAAGAAGACATCTATTTCAAGAAAACAGTCATTTAATTATCAGAATAATGTGCTGTAGAAACCTCAAGTTTTTATTGCTAAAAACAGCAGAGAAAAATAAGTCAATCACCACTTTACCAATGGAAAAAGTGGTTCTGGGTACTTTTTGTTCTTTATGGTTACAATTGTGCTAAAGATCAATCTTAACAAGCAGGGCCTGGTGCAGTAGCCTAGTGGCTAAATCCTCGCCTTGCATCTGCCAGGATGCCATATGGGCACAGGTTTATATCCCAGCAGCTCCGCTTCCCATCCAGCTCCCTGCTTGTGGCCTTGGAAAGCAGTCCAGGACAGCCCAAAGCCTTGGGACCCTGCACTCACTTGGGGAGTGAAACAGTGAGTGAAGATCTTCCTCTGTCTCTCCTCTCTGTATATCTGCCTTTCCAATTAAAAAACAAAATACATCTTTTTTTAAAAAATGGATAAGCAGCAAAAACTTAACTGCTTATCAACACTTACTGTTCTCAGTTGAAGAGTACTTTATGTTACAGAAATAACCCATGGATGGTTTGGCTTTCTTTCACTCCCAGTACATACAGTTCCTGGCCTGGAAGTAACTGACACACAAGAACAGCTGCTGACCTGTCTGAAATTAAAGCCAGCCCTTCTACAGCCTTAATCCTTTACGACACAGGAATAAACAGCAGCAAGAATGTAGGACAAGACTAGTATGGTCAATCTTGCCGGCACACCTGGGACTGCGAAGGAGGTAGGTGACCAGCCCGAAGACAGTTCCTGGCAAAGCAGATAAACTGGTCACCTCAGACAAGGCAAACCCAAGGAGGGCAGGCCCGATTCTGTGTGCTCCCTCTGCCTCACAAGCAGTAGTCAAAGTTCCTTCTCTCCCCAACCTTTCTCTCTCCTCCTGCCAAATGAAGATCATGTATCCATGATCTTCTCAGACTAGATATTCCATAAACCATAAAAAGAGATTAAAACAGTAATTTCAGTAATATTATTCCTCAAAACAGAACTGCTCAGGGTCCAAAGCCCTGGCTATTCTGTGCACAGATGGCCTTGGGGTGTAGGGTTATCAATACTTATCCAGAAACTTTAAATTCCCGTGGCCTAGTGCTTGGGAATCAAATCTCTAAGAATGTCTTCACAGAAGCAGCAGCACTGGGGCCAGCAGGGGCGTATCATGCAAAGCTACCACCTGCAGTGATGGCTGGCACTCCACAGGAACACAGGTTTGAATCCCAACTACTCCACTTCCAACAGCGCTCCCAGTTGCAGTGCCCGAGAAAGCAATGGAAGACGGCCCAGATGTGAGGCTAGGAAGAAACTCCTGGTTCCTGGTTTTGGACCGGCCTAGCTGCAACTGTTGTGCCCACTTGGGGAGTGCACCAGCAGACAGAAGACTGTCTTTAACTCTTTCATTAAATACATATTCTTTTTGTAAAAAAGAAAAAGCAGCATTATAGATTCTAATCCAAAAGCAAACTGGAGATTCTGTGAATCAGATTTCAAACTTCCAACACAGTTCAGCAGACCCAAAAGATACAGACGAGCACTCACCGAAATGGAGGCAGTGGGGTCCAGCTGATACTTAGCTGCGATGCCAAAGCGAGTGCAGTTGGTACCTGATGTCCAAGCGAGGTTTACTGAAGTGTCAAGATCCTCACATACTTTCTGATAAATTGATCCTCCAAATTCTGTCCCATCATTGCTGTAAGATATTTTACATTAGTAAATCTAGAATAGGCCATGTAACACCTCAAGTTATTATTACTGAAGCATTCTATGATTCACGTTGGGTTTTAACTTTTCTATCAAAACCATAAAGTTAATTTGTTTTAAATTAAAAAACAAAAACAAATTTAAGATATCTTTTCCTCAACTTATTTCCAATACAGGAAGCGGTCAAATAAATCAGCACACAACCATCCAGAAGTCACCACACACATATAAATCATGCTGTAAAATGGGTAATACTATAGTAGTATGTACTGAAAAGGGAGAAAAGATTGTGAAGACAAGCTTTGGTATACGTGCTGTATATGTATACTTGAACACACACACACACAAACCAGACAGTAGCACAGTTTATCTATCCATGGAAATGTTGGTTTTCTCCTTTGTACTTGTTACAGTATTTTTATAATGGAGACTTTTTAATCCCTTTCCACACACCTACCTACCGAAAGTTAGGTTGAAACACCATATATTTTAGACAATCAGCACCCTATAAGCCACAGGTCAATAAATCAAATGAATGCACCGAATGAACTCAAAGCAGCCTGCCAGTTTTTACTGCTTCTTCAGAAAACAGAGTTCTACATGAACATTTAATGTCTTAGCACCAAATGTGACTTTTTTAAAACTGTGTTTTTGAGGGGTACCTTAGAGATGGCCAAGAGGAAATACATATACAATTGTTAATATCTTTAGGTTAAATTTAGATTAGTAGGTGACAAGTGACATTAAAACTATTCTCTGTAGGTCTACATCACAATAGCCGAGGATAAAAACACTTACACATTAGTGTGTAGCTGGAAGTCCCCAGTCCGGTAGCCCACTGCAAAGTTATTTCTCGTCAGCTTTGATTTGGCACTGTCAAAGGTCATTTGGTACCCAGCAAGCCAGCCCTCGTAACCAAAGACGGCCGAGCCATGGATTGCAGGGCCAGCAAAATCAAAGTCGACATCACAACCAAGGTTTATACATTCCCTCTTGTAAGAGGATTTGATTTTACCACTCTTCTTTCTAGAGGATAAAACAGAGCAGTTTATAAACTGACACTAGAAAAAGATTTACACATGCTAACTTTTGCAAAGAAGGCATAAAACAAATTCTTAACATACAGCAATATAACTACACAATCACAGAGCTGAACTAAACAGGGCACCTGGGGTAACTGGACCACTATCATCACAGAAGACTGCTCACAGAACTGGCAGTCACAAAAGCCTCTTAGAAACATGTTAATTACACAATGAAAAGAAGCAAATATTTGAAGGCATGCCAATAACACCACCAGTGTCCCAAAAGCAGGGACATCCTCCACAAGGCAGCTAAGGAGGCTCTCAAACAGTGAATGTGTATCTTTCCCTAAACACACAAATGAGGAATGCTCTGAAACCTAACACAGAAAAAATAGCCATGTTTACCCCGTGTTCGGTGAAAAGGTAGTATCAAACGTCAGTTTCAAGCCTTGACAAATCTATATTGAAAGAAAGAAATTTATATTCAACCTTTATGTCCTTTTCAAAATACAAAACTAAAAATAACAAACCATGTTGTTGAAATGTTACCTGGTCTTCAATTGCAATTTCTGTTCCCAGGGTGTTATCAGTGTTCCATTTTTCTGTGAAAGTGAGGCCATACTCACACCATTTATATTTGGTCTCCAAGGTCCCAGTAACTTTACCGGTATCTGTATTCGATGAACCAGATGTTGAAAATTCCTATCAAGACAGTAAAATATCTTCACAAATCTTCCCAAAAGCCTAGAAGAATCTACTGCCTAACATACACACATATTTATGATTTCACTAGCCCTTTTCCTAGCGTCTGAACACTCACAACCCTCTGCACCATGCTGCTCTGTAAGTACACAAGAATGACACATTAGCTTGCAAATAACCGAATGCCATATTACAGCTAACATTTCCAACCAACAGACCATAAATTAACCTCTAGCTAATTCTTCAATGAATAACAAGCTGTCCACCTTGTAAGGAGTCACCTGTTGGGCCCGGCACAGTGGCCTAGCATCTAAATTTCTTCCCTTGAACGCACCAAGATCCCATATGGACACCGGTTCTAACCCCGGCAGCCTCACTTCCCATCCAACTCCCTGCCTGTGGCCTGGGAAAGCAGTCGAGGACAGCCCAAAGCTTTGGGACTCTGCACCAGCATGGGAGACCTGGAAGAGCTCCTGGCTACTAGCTTTGGTTTGGCGCAGTACCTGCCGTTGCACTCACTTAGGGAGTGAATCATCGGACAGAAGATCTTTCTCTGTCTCTCCTTCTCTCTGTATATCTGACTTTATGATAAAAATAAATAATAAATCATTTTTTTAAAGTTGCCTGTTAAACCAATCTGGGACTCAAAAGCAGTAGGGGCAGCAGACCGCAGTCAGCGCAGCAGCTAAGCCAGGCGCGACGCTGGAGCATGCCGGCTGGATACAGCTCTAGTTCCTGATCCCAATCTCCTGCCAATGCACACCTGGACAGCAGTGGGCAGGCCCGTCTTACTGGACCCCTACCACCCGTGTGGAAAAAGGGGAATGTTCAGCCACCAGCCTTTTTTTTTTTTAAGATTTTTTTTTTTCTTATTGGAAGGCAGATTTTCAGGAGATAGATCTTCCATCTACTGGTTCACTCCCAAATTTCCAACCATCTTAAGCATTCTTTTTCTTAAAAAAAAAAAAAGTATAGATGGCTTATATTTCTCTATGTAATCTTCATTATGTTAGCAGATATCACTAGAAAAAAAATAATCAAACAGAAGGATGAACATGAGGTACATTTTATAATCACGTTCATCCCAAGTATAATTATCTGGTTAATTCCCAACAGCACACCCCTGAAAACAAATACCATGGAGACCTACCTAAATGTTTTTTTTTTTTAAATCTAATAATCTTACATAGCTCTATCAAGAGGCAGGCAACTGAAATCTTCCATGTTGAAACATTAAGAAGTTCTCTGAAGTTCCTGATCCCCAATTTGTCTACCATTGATGGCTCTGCATCAACCCAACGGAAACCCCATCTGAGCACAGTTGATCTAACATAATCAAGACTTCCATCAGAAACTGTGACCCTTCCAAGTAAGGAGCTATCAAAAATTACCATGGGGCAAAGGCCAGTTGTTCTTCATGAAAAAAGAGAGAAAGAAAGAAAAAAAAAAAACAACTTGTGTTAACTATACAGCCCCCCCCCCAAAAAAGCTTGAATTAAAAAAACCTCAAATCCTGAAGTTTTACAATCTTCTGAAGTCAAAATTTGGCACTCAATGTTCACTAAAAACCACAAACAATGGATATAAAATAAGGAGCTCTGGTGTCCAGTTTGGGGTTCACGTACATGGAAAAACACCAAGGAAACCATTTTGGGGGAATCTACCGCCTCAAAGCAATGAACAAAGGTACTGCAGGGAGACTAAACGTCGATGACAGCAAAGACTCTGCACATTTTTATGTGCTCTACAAAAGAAAAGCACCACAAACACTTTGGGGCACATTCTTGTAGCAGGCAGTTTGAAGCTGCTTGTGTATATGAGCAGCTATTTTTAATCCTCAGTGACACCAATGAATACACTTTCAAGCCCCACCCACTGCTATCAATAAAGCCCTGGGATGGACAGCCCCAAAGCTGAGGCCCCTCAACAAAGTCGTGTCACCCTGTAAAATCAGGAAATGAGCTCCAGGACATCCCTGGGGAGCCAAGCCCCTTCACTCAGCATCACAGATTTTGCCTTCTACCTTCTGGGGTGAAACAAGCACCTCCATAATTCATGTCAAATGTTACTGGTGACTCCCGGAGTCCTTACATTAGTCCTCTGTAACCTTCAAGATTCCCACTTTTTATAAACTTCTCTCCAACCTCATCCACAAGAAGCACTTTCTTTCCAATAGATTTCAGATCACGAACCAAAAATCACAGTTGATGCAATTATTTGACTAAGCCTAGTTTGGAGTTTACCACTGTTCCATAACTGTTAACTTGACCAAACACAGTCACTCAACCCTAACTAAACTCTTGGCATCCTTTGAGCAAAAAGCAGAAATGACAGTGTTCAATAAAAATCCTACAACTCAGTAAGTCTAGGCAGTAAAGGCTACAGCATTAGTTTTAATAAAAACCACTTTTAACCAATACAGCAACAATTTCTATAAAACAAGACAGCATTCTGATAAACACATTACATTCACCCCAAACCAATCTAAAAAAAAAAGTGCAGGACTGCTAGAACATGTACATTGCACAGACTGCTTCAACTAACTTTCATCTCTCAAAAGATCAAACAAGTAGACATTGTGCAGTGAGGATCTTCTTGTGGGTTGGAAAATTCACACACAACTGGGTACTCAAGAACTCGATGAGAGCTAACACTCACCACACCGCTGCAGGACTTGGTCTTCACATCCAGCTTCACCAACCCAAAACCTGCAAGCAGAGAAAGCCACCAAGATGATCCTTCTGAACACTAGATGCACACCAAGACTCCACAACACTTGCGGGAAAATTCATACTGAGAAGGGGATTTTAAAAAACCATATTTAGGGCCCAGCAGCATGGCCTAGCAGCTAAAGTCCTCGCCTTGAACACGCTGGGATCCCATCTGGGCGCCAGTTCTAATCCTGGCAGCTCCACCTCCCATCCAGCTCTCTGCTTGTGGCCTGGGAAAGCAGTCGAGGATGGCCCAAAGCCTTGGGACCCTGCACCCGCGTGGGAGACCTGGAAGAAGTTCCTGGATCCTGGATCCTGGCTTTGGATTGGCACAGCACTGTCCGTTGCGCTCACTTGGGGAGTGTACCATCAGATGGAAGATCTTTCCTCTCTGTCTCTCCTCCTCTCTGTATCTGACTTTCCAATAAACAAATAAATCTTAAAAAAATATATATATATATTTAAACACAATTTATTGCATGTAAACTCACCAAGGACAGAATAACTCTGTACTGCTTTTGCCAAGTGTTTTGTATTGACACAAGAAAATCCACCATCAAACAATTTTTAACTTAATTTCAGGTTAGAAAACCAATTTGATTTAAATCTCAAAACAGCCACTAACATCATGACAGACATTCAGAGCTTATATTCCAGAGGGATAGCTCCCCTAACCTAAAAGGGAGAGCAAGTATAAATAAAAATTCACCTGAAGAAACCCCAAGTTACCTGAAACAGCCCACCACCCTTTGACAACACTTCATCACTCCACTCAACCATAAGCCATCACCGAAGGAGGTAAAACAAGCTGCTGCTTAGAACTACTCAGAAACATTGTGGGAAATTGAGGCTAAGGAGGATGTAGCTAATAAAAGAATTCATGCAGCAAGCTGTTGACAGTTGAAGAAACCACTTCATTTTTTTTTTTTTCCTGAGTAATCCCAACACTTTTTCATTTGAGAGCTAAAACTAAAGATAAATAAAGAATTCTTACCAAATCCTTTGTTGAAAATGTCTCTGGCAGCTTTGCCGAGATCAGCGTAGGACGGAGGGATACACATTGCTGCTGGGGAAAAGATCCTGGGTCAACATTTAGGTTCAGCCACACTGCATCCAACAACCCAGCATTGACCTTAATAGAGTCAAGCCATCTGGCTTGGTGAAAACGCGTTTCTGAGGACACCAGGCTTGGCAGCACAGCTCTGCCGTGGAGCAGAGATGGCCCACAAAGCTTATTCCTAAAACGGATAACTATGGGCAAGCGGATATACAAAGTTGAGAAATTCCTTCCCAAAACAACGAAACACCGTCTATTGCTAAATTCACAGTCTACAGTCTCGCTATCTAAGATGAAACCTGCTCAAAGCAGACAGTACGTGTGCAGCTGTAAACCAGATTGCTGGGACATGCCCAGGTCAGCACGGGTACGCCTCCCCCAGAGGTCCACGCCAACACCACACAGGAGGCGGAAGGAAAGGGGACTTGGGAGGGAAAAGCCAGCCATCCGCACTTCACCCACACGTCCGCGTCCACCAGACACCGGGGCTCCTGGCCACGCGGCCTCAGGGCTGAGCCGGCAGGGCTCTCCCGCCACCGGCCCATTCATTCCAGGGGCCGTCCACGCCCTTCCGGGCACATGCAATGACCTTGCGTTCGCTCCGGGGGGACGACTCCTCTCAAAAAATACAAAACACGGCTGCTCCGAGCCTCCTCGGGCGGCATCCGACAAACCCACGGCCCGGTGCTGTGGACTTCTCGTCCAAGGAGCGACCAAAAGCGGAAGGGGGAAGGCAGAGCTCCCGGGGCCCGGTCCCCACCCCACAGCCCCAGGGGCCGACCGGAGGGGAAGGGAGCTGTGCTAGGGGACCCGCGGACAGCCCTGCTCTACTTACGCCGCGGGCAGCCCTGTCCGTAGGTCGCCATGGCGAGGCCGCGGGAAGTGGTGATCTGCGGGAGGGACAAGAAGGGGGGACGGTCAACGGGGCGTCCTGACCGGTCGCAGGGCCCGCGGGGAGTCTCGGTCACTGAGGGGCGAGGGCCCGCGGGGCAGCGCGGCCATCTTAGGGACTCGGGGTCGACCCCGAAGCCACTCAGGCCTTCCCGGGTTTGGCTGCCGCGGCCTCAGCCCCTGGTCGGCGGGCAGCGAGCACGGGCCCGGTACCTGGTGGTCTTCTGACGGGGGAGGGGGCTGCTGCCGCCGCTGGGCTCGCAGCTGAGGCGGCGCGGTTCGCTCGGGGATAGGGCAGCAGCTCCGCGGCTGGAGGGCGAAGTGAAGGAGACACCGTTCCGCCCGCCGCAACCTCGTCCTCCCGCAGCCAGGACCCCGCCGCGGCCCCAGCGGCTGTCCGCCGCGCCTGTGTCCGCAGCGCCACCGACCGCCCGCTCCGACTGCTCCGGAGCGGCCTCTGGAGCCTCAGGTCCCCTTGCCAGCCGCGGTGGGCTGCTGCTATCGGTCGGCGGGAGCCCCGCGGACCCGGCCCGTCGGTCCTCGCTCGGATCAGGCAGCGACCAGGGCACCCCAGAGGCGAGGAGGGCGAGGAGCGGCGGGGGCGGTGCCATGGGGGCCCTGGCGGGCGGGGGCTCGCGAGCGCGTCACGGAGGGGCGGGGCGACGGGCGCGCGCTGCTCGGGGCACGTACACCTCCGGGAGCCGGGTTCGTCGTTGGTGCGGGTCCGGCCACCGTGCGCTCGTGCGGCCCATGAGAGACGAGCGGGCCGCGGGGACTGCACCTGCCGCGGATGGCCTGGAGCTCTCCGGCACCGTGTGGAGCACGCGCCTCGGGCCGGACCCGATGCCTGCTTTGACTCGCTGAGCCCTGTGTGCTTTGGGGAGACAAGTCTGCTCAGATGAGCGGCCTCGTGCTGACTGAGCCCTACTGCTGCACCCAAGTTCTCTGGTTAGAGTGACAGAAAGCAGAAAAAAATTGAAGTTTTACGGAGCAGATGTAGGGTCCCAAAACAATAGCATGTCTTAGTAATATAGTAGGTAGACCTGAGTTTTCTTATGCATAACATGACAAATTTGAATGAGATGAAGTGGACTTTGATAGCCATGCAACAATAGGCTGAGCAAGTCTCTTCCCCTGATTTCCTTAGAGGTTGTAGGAGCCCAGGGAAGGTTGGCTAGGTGGCTTACACAATGCGCAGCTCACACTAAAGCCGCAGCTAACCTGTCCCTCCTCTGGGCTAGCCAGGTCAGCATTCCTGCCTAGTCACGACGGCTCACTCGGGTTGTAAAGCAGGGGAGGAGAGTCTGTGCTTGTAGGAAATGTGGCCCCAGAAGCCCTGATTCATTCCTGCACGCAAGTTCTGACAGGTCAGCCAGCCAGCAGTCTGTGGCTCTACTGGGAGCTGGCTGGCTGTTGGATGCCACTGCAGAGCTAATGGCTGACGGACATCTGGTCCCAGCTTCCCCACAACCAACCACTTTCCACGAAACCAAGTCTATGCTAATGCTCCCCCCTGCCTGCAGCAGCTGCTGCATTGTAAGCAATCTGTAGTAATGTCTAAGTTATTTGTTCATTTGCAAGGCAGAGGTAACAAACTGATCTCCCATCTGTTGATTCAGTTTTAAAATGTTGGCATTCCTGTAAATCTTCTTTCTGAAGATAAAGAAATAAATCTCTTTTAAAAATCAGGGCCCGGCGCGGTGGCGCAAGTGGTTAAAGGTCCTCGCCTTGCACGCCCGGGATCCCATATGGGCGCCGGTTCTAATCCCGGCAGCCCCGCTTCCCTTCCAGCTCCCTGCCTGTGGCCTGGGAAAGCAGTCGAGGACGGCCCAAGGCTTTGGGAACCTGCACCCGCGTGGGAGACCCGGAAGAGGCTCCTGGCTTCGGATCGGCATAGTATCGGCCCGTTGCGCTCACTTGGGGAGTGAATCATCGGACGGAAGATCTTCCTCTCTGTCTCTCCTCTCTGTATATCCACCTTTCCAATGAAAAAATAATAAAAAAATAAATCTTAAAAAAAAAAAAAAATCAGCATATTGGGGCCCGGCACGATAGCATAGCGGTTAAGGTCCTCGTCTTGAACAGGCCAGGATCCCGTGTGGGTGCTGGTTCTAATCCTAGCTGCTCCACTTCCCATCCAGCTCTCTGCTTGTGGCCTGGGAAAGCAGTCGAGGACAGCCCAAGACTTTGGGACCCTGTACCTGTGAGGGAGACCAGAAGGAGGCTCCTGGCTTCGGATTGGCTCAGCTCCAGCCATTGCAGCCACTTGGGGTGTGAACCATCAGATGGAAGATCTTCCTCTCCGTTTCTCCTCTCTGTATATCTGCCTTTCCAATAAAAAAAAATCTTTTAAAAAAAATCAGCACACTGGTTTTAAATCTGAAGAGAAGATAGCATAACTGGTACACAGTTAAATATCCAATTTAAGTGTAAAAAGACTGCCATTTTACATTCGTTATATATTTGCTGGCAATGTTAAAAGTTTTCATTTTTTTCTTTATGTTATACACTGATTTCCATCAATGGGATATGAAATTTATTTATTTATTTATTTATTTATTTATTTGAAAGGCAAATATACAGAGAGGAGGAGATACAGAGAAAGAGCTTCTGCCCATTGGTTCACTCCAGAAGTGGCCACAATGGCCGGAGTTGAGCCGATCCGAAGCCAGGAGCCAGGAGATGCTTCCGGGTCTCCCACGTGGGTGCAGGGTCCCAAGGCTTTGGGCCATCTTCAACTGCTTTCCCAGGCTAGAAGCAGGGAGCTAGATGAGAAGTGGGGCCGCCAGGGTTAGAACCGGCACCCATATGGGATCCTGGCATGTTCAAGATGAGAACTTTAAGTGCTAGGCTACCATATCGGGTCTATGTGTGACATTTTTTAATTTGCAAATTGTTTTAATCATTTGACTGTGAGGGCCTAGGCCTGTAAGATGAAGGTTATAGGAAGGAGGCAGCTGACTTCTGGATCCCCAGTGACCTGTCCCATGACCCTCATCCCATGGCTGCCTGCATCTACTGCATGGCTGTCCTGTGTCTCTGGGGTTGGTGTGGGAGGCTGAGAGTGGTAGGCAGGGAACATTCTAAGGCCTAGGAAGTCACAAGGGCAATTTGGCTGGCAGCCGCCGGACACTCAGTACAGATTGAAGCTAATGAGAAAGCCAGCGGAACAAAGAACCATTATTTCTGACAGAGTGGCAAGTTTGATATTGGGTGACCCACCATTCCTCCCACCAGTGTGAGTTTTCCTCGACTCTGACAGTACAGCAGTATGTTTGGAGACTGGGGGCAATGACAGGGCTGTTTAGATCTGTTAGAACTGGTTGTTGATGGATTTTGAGGGCCATTGTCTTGTGCCAATCCCCACTCCACACCACACTGGATTAGCACAACTTTTGAATACATGACTCCAAAACCTCAAGAGGAAGCCATCCATGCACTAGGTTCTAACCATCCACAATATAGTCTACACCTCACCTTCTAAGCCAGTGCAGTTTCCCTGAGCACAGACCACTCAAGTTAATACTATAGCTTATAAGCACAGAGAGACCTCAGTGATCAGTTACACAAGGTCAACCCATTTCCTTACATGGAACTTCTAGAGCCCAAGTGGTATGTGTTAAGAATCTGAGAGACAGTGATATATGCACATCCAATCCCATCTTGGCATCTGCTGCTCTGCTGCTCCAAGGTGCTGTGCTGAGACCCATAGTCAATCCAGTTGTGGTTATTAAGTCTTTACACAGCCAACTCCTCCTGGAGCACCCAATACCCTTATGGCAGTTGCCTTTTTATGGTCTGAGCCAAGAGATCTCCCAGTGCAGTCATAAAATTCACAGACTCTGGAGCACAATGGCTCAGGTTTGAATCTCAGTTGTCACCAGCAACACCTTAAGGAAGTTCACCAACAGGCTGTAGAAGGAGGGACCACAATGTTGCCTTTCAAGGCCTACAAGGAAGAAATGATATGTTAAAGCTCCATCCACTGAGCAGAATGCCTGTCTACAGTCGTGGTGGTTCTCCTACTTTGCTCTATTACAATATAAACTCTTCATGAGGTGAGTGTGATTTTCATCTTTTTCTTTTTTTTTTAAGATTTATTTTTATTGTAAAGGCAGACTTCCAGAAAGAAGAGACAGAAGGGTTTTCTATCCACTGGGTCACTTTGCAAACGGCTGCAATGACTGTAACCAGGGCAATCTGAAGCCAGGAGCTTCCTCCGGGCTTCCCACCAAGTTGCTGGGTCCCAAGGCATAGGGCTATTTTCCATTATTTTCCCAGGCCACACTCAGGGAGCTGGATGGGAAGTCCAACAGGCAGGACAAGAACTGGTACCCATATGGGATCCCGATGCTTGCAGAGGAGGATAAGCCAATTGAACCACTGCACCAGACCTGCACTTCATCTTTTTGAGCTCTGCTGAAGGGCCTGAGATACAGGCCTTATTCAGATGCGACACTGCATGAGGCCATCTGTAGAAGAAAAGGGGCATCTCCGAGAAGGACAGGAGAGCGGTAGAGGCGGGTGCAGTCAGCCAGTGGTGGGGGGAATGTAACCAGGCCTCCAGACTGTTCCACAGCTATGGATTCAAATAAGCACAGGTGGAAATGGAAGGAAAAGACTGCCTCCATATGGAACATGTACATACACTTTTTCTCCATGTCATTCCAAAACAATGCAGTATTGAAGCTATTTACATAGCATTTACACTGTTACAAAGGATTGTAGGTAATCAGGGTGATGTGAAGTACATAAGAGGATGTGCTTGCATTATGTGCAAATACTACACCATTCATATAAGGGACCTGACCACCTCCACGGATTCAGGTGGATAATTATATACAGAATACATAGTAAAGTGTAACATATACAGGTACAGATTACATAAACATACATAAAAATAAACATGGATCTAGAACTGCCTAACAAAGTGCTAAAAAGACGACAGGTGTGCTCTGAGCCTCTTCGCAAAGGCAGCTTTCTTTAAGCCCCGTTAAGCACAACATGGGAGGCTGGCATTGTAGTGCAGTGAGTCAAGCCACTGCCTGCAGTACTGGCATTCTATACGGGTGCCAGCTCAAGACCAACTGTTCCATTTCCTATCCAGCTCCCTGCTAATGTACCTAGCTGCTTGGGCCCCCCACCCACATGGGAGACCCAGAAAAAGTGCCTGGCTTCTGGCTCCAGATTGGCCCAGCTATGGCTTTTGCAATTATTTGGAGAGTGAATCAGAAGATAGAAGATCTCTCTTTCTGTATAACTTTGCCTTTCAAATAAATAAAATAAGTTTTTAAATTGGAAAGCTGGACATACAGAGAAGGGGAGATAAAGAGAGGAAGATCTTCTGTCTGCTGATTCACTC